TATAGTAAAATAAATTTAAAAGAAACAAACAAAACGAATTCATCATAGGAAATTACCAAAGCATCCTTCAATACATCAATAATGGGTCCGACTTTTTGTTTTTAAGAAATTGCACATTCGAAGGATATTTTTGTCCAAAGTGGAAATATTGTGTAAAAAATGTGTATTTATTGTGATTTTGAATGTTTTGTGGGGTAATAGGACGCACGCAAAGTTAATGTGTCTTTTTGAAAATCTGGGACAATTTGTAAAAAATGTGTATTTATTATGAGTTTGAATGTTTTGTGAGGTAATAGGACGCACACAAAGTTAATGTGTCTTTTTGAAAATCTGGGACAATTTGTAAAAAATGTGTATTTATTGTGAGTTTGAATGTTTTGTGAGGTAATAGGACGCACACAAAGTTAATGTGTCTTTTTGAAAATCTGGGACAACTTCAAGTATCACTTAATGTTTTTTCTCAAAATCTAATTTACTTTAGTAAACTATGTGTCAGATCAAAATCAGATTAACAAATTCAAAAGGAATGAGTAATAAATAGCTCATACAATAACATATTTATTATTTAACTAAATAATAAATATGTAACTAAAAATCTTGTTAGCTTTTCGTTGAAAGCTAACAAGATAGTTACAATTAACTAAAAATCTTGTTAGCTTTTGGTTGAAAGCTAACAAGATAGTTACAATGATAGTTGCATTGTGGCTTATTATATATAGAAAATATAGATTAGGTAAGCAAGGATAAAATCCATCTATAATTCAAAATGAATTTCAAGATATGTAATTTTGTTACTCAATAGAAAGATGAACTTCTCTTAACTGATAGTAGTCAAAAAAACTACACCGTCAGTTCATTTTTGAAAATACTTTCTCATTACTTTTAAAAGATTAACTTCTCTCCATTGACAGCGGACAAGAAAATTACACTGCAATAATGATAATACACCTAAAATAAGAACTTTGAAATTAGTTATGTATATTCAAAATATCGGTTTAAATAATTAAGAGACCCCCATATTTTTTAGTAAATTAATGAGGCACTCGTAAATTTCAAGGTCTTCGATCGGGGTGATTTTGACAAAAATAACAATTGTGATCCCCAAGTGAAGGCGAGTGAGGATGAAGTGTATTTAAACTTGGGAAAAGGGACGGATTTACCCCCGAACTTTAATAAATGGTACGTATATGCCCTCCGTTATACTTTGCGTCCACATAAGCCCCCGTCGTCCAATTATAGGTACACATATACCCCTCTCACTAATGGACCCTTAATTTCTTACACGTGTCTTAATCCTATTGAACTACCCGTTTGACCCTTTTTTTTTAACCCATAACCCAACTATCCGCCCCATAACC